AGCCGCCTTGCGGCGGGGGGGAACCAGGGGGATAACCAAAAACCACAACCCCCGGGGGTTTGCGGACCCCCCCACGGAGTTAAAACTCTCAGCTTTATTTCAGATTCAGGGTTTCGGCGTGTCGCGGTGGCTTCGGAGCCCATGCCGGGCTCCGTGATGATGGGCCGGGGGTTGAGGAGTGCCCCGGCCATGATGCAAGCGGGGCTGTGAGGGGAATGTCAATGGGCAGTTTTCGGTTGGTTTGTTTGTTTTTAAAGCCACCCGTCTGCATGTTAAAGCTGGTCACGCTGCAGAGCTTGTCTGGAAGCTCCCCCTTGCCAAGTCACGACGCTGCGGGGCAGGGAGGGCCCAGCTCCAGACCCGCAGGTGGGTGGCCAAGGTACTGCCAAGGAGGTTATTTCCTCCCCATACGCCTGAGCGATGTCCTTCGGGATGCTGGGAACACATGGATTTCACACCCAGCTGTTGTGCAGCTGAATCCAAACCTCTTTGTGGTAAGGGGAGCAAAGCACTGCAAGCAGGAGCTGATGGTCGTGGCGGGTCCCGCACTATCCTTCAAGATGCCGACTGTGGCAGAGGAGTTTCCACACAGGGAACTGGGAACACAATCCCAGGTGCCCAAGGCTGGCTTTGGAAAGGGGAGCAGGGTGCAGGGCCGGGCAGAAGGACATCTGTCCCCCAGGCCCGTGTGCACCAGGAATGACAGATGCAGCTTTCTGTGAACGGAGGGGTTAACGTTTTTCCAAGTCACCCTCTGAGCAAACCACAGGCTGATTCCCCCCTTCCCCACATCCTAACAGCCCTTACATAAGAGTCGTGCAGAATTTATGGCCTTGCTCAGCTGAGCTGCGCTAGAGCCAGGCGGGCGCAAGTGGCTCCATGTAGCTGTCAGAACGGATCCCAGGCAGCACGAATCCGAGGATGAAATGGGATTTGAGTTCTGCACCAGTCACCGTCTCCCGCTGTTACGGAGGGATGGAGCGGCGGTTCCTCCTACCCCGGAGCGTTCCCACGCTGCGTGCGCTGACCTTGAATGTCCCCGGCACAGCCTCGGCAGCGCGGCCCAAGGCTCCCTCACCTAGTGCACAGCAACGGTGCTTTAGGGAGAGTGGGAAATTGGTTTGGGAAGTCTGGAAGACACCGGAGGCTTGGGGGCCTTGGGCTCTGCAGCGAGGTGCCGAGGAGGCTGCAGCGTGTGTGGCGGAGGAGTGCGAGAGCCGGCGCTTTTCCATTCCCTTTCCAGGAGGAGCCCTGAGCGCATTGCGACCCCTGTCACCTGCTGTCACCAGCAGCCAGATCCAGGCAGAGCGGCCCTGCGGCAGCCCCGGCCGGAGGAGCC